ATGGTCAGTTTAATCCGGTCATGTTAGCACTGAGACAGATATCAATGATAATAATAATGTATGGTGATTATTTAGTACTCCTCATTGATTTAAACTTTTTTTTTCTGGTTAGCGTTTTTCTTTTTCTCATGGTGCTCGACTGGATCATGAAGAAGTCAGCATCTGGAGGGAAGCATGGGATACAATGGACAGCTAGGGTTTAGCTGGACGATCTAGACTTCGTAGGTGATCTAGCTTTTTTAACGCACACGCAACAACAAATGCAGGAGAAGACGACCCGTGTAGCAGCACCATCAGCAACAATAGGTCTCAACATACACAAAGGGAAAAGCGAGATTCTCTGATACAACACGAAATGCACAAATCAAATCACACTTGATGGAGAAGATTTGGAAAATGTAAAAACGTTTACATATATGGACAGCATCATTCATACACACGGAGGATCTGATGCAGATGTGAAGGCGCAGATCGGCAAAGCAAGAGCAGCATATCTACAACTGAAGAACATCTGGAACTCAAATCAACTCTCTGTCAACCAACACCAATGTCAGAATATTTAATACAAATGTCAAGACAGTTCTACTGTATGGGGTGGAAACTTGGACAACTACGACATCCATCATCCAGAAGATACAAGTGCTTATTAACAGTTTTCTACACAAAATAATTCGGATCCGTTGGCCAGACACTATTAGCAACAACCTACTATGGGAGAGAACAGTCTACATTCCAGTGGAGGAAGAAAGGAGGAAGAAGTGCTGTATGTGGATAGGACACATATTGAGGAAGGCATCCAACTGCATCACAAGGCAAATCGTCATCTGGAATCTTCAATTCCAAAGGAGAATTGCAATACCAAAGAACTCATCATTCCGAGAAATAGAGACAAACGTAAGAAGAATGAAGAGAAATTGAATAGAAGTAGAAAGAATGGTGTAGGGCAGATTGGGTTGGAGAATGTTGGTCGGCGGCCTATTCTCCATCGCGAGTAACAGTCGTAAGTAAGTATTGATTATAAACTTAAACCTCTTGGTCATTAGGTTCGTTCTGTAACATGAAATCTTAACTTTACATTACTGAAGATTGTCATATCAGGATGAAACTTTAGTCTTTTTATCGCTAATCAACTGGAAACGAAAATATCATCATCATCATCATCATCATCATCATCATCATCATCATCATCCAAATCATCATCATCATCCAAATCATCATCGTCATCCACTTGTTTTGCATATACTATTCGATGTTTTGTATTATTCATTTACTTGAGTGATTCTTTTAATCTACTTATGTTCCTTATTGTTGTTGTTGTTATTGTTTTGACCATAATCATCTTTATTATTACTATAAGAATGTTATTTTATATCTTTTCATAACAGGATTGATTATTCACATTGTTTATTCTTCTATCTTCTATATATACATAGAGAATCTAAGTGTTCACTTGGTATGATTCATTTTGTATATTAACACTGTCATATAATTGGGGAAGTGGGTTGTGAGTAGAGTGAGTCTACATTTTTGTTGTTGTTGTTGTTGCTTATTCTCTACTGTCATTCTCTAATTCCTCCCCCCTCCTCCTCCGCCTCATCCTCCTCCTCCTCCTCCTCCTCCTCATCATCATCATCATCAGCAGCAGCACCAGCCTCGTCATCATTGACAGGGGTTAAATTGTAAACAAAAAAACAAAATATCTGTGCCAAAATGAGAAGAGTAGAATTAATAGATTGTTTTGCTCATTATTATTATTAACGATTTCATACACTTTACTAAATGTCTTCTATTTACCTACTTAATCAATGTTAATAGCATATATGCTGTACAGAATTGTCTATAGAGCTAGTTGTCTTGGCATTGTATACATGTTGTGCGTGTGTGTGTGTGTGCGTGAGTACGTGTGTGGGCGTGTGCTCATCAGTACTTACACGTGATTTTTGAGTAAATTTTCCTATATACCATGCCAATTATTTTCTATTGAAAATCAATTCTTCATAAGTATTCTACAATTTATTATTCTAAATACTGAATTATCTGAAGGGGGATTTTATGGAGATTTTAGTCATTTCGATAGTTGAAATCGTAAGTCAATTGAAGCTACAACACCATGGAAAATCTGGAAACATTGGGTGAACGTTCTGTCTTAATATGCGACTCCTCAGTAGCAGTGCGCATCCACGATCCTGCTTTGCGAGATTCGAACTCAGGACCTAACGGTCTCACATGGGGACGCTTAACCTCTAGGCCTATCAACTGGTCGACATCCAACCGTATTAATATCTAACTTCCACTAATCCACGAGATTGAGCGACACATACATCATTGTCTTTAATGACTTACTATTTCACCATAGGACAAAACAGCCGTTAATTACTTCTAGCTTTTCCATAGTACTCTAGCTTCAATTGATTCATGATTTCAACAATTGAAATCACTAAATTATCTCTTCAATATTCTATTGAAATCAAAGAGAAATATACAGTGATGACGATAGTGGTGTTATTTGATTGGTCAGTTAATCCGTCATTAGGCTGAGTGAAAACAAGAAAAAAACTCCTCAATAAATATTTCTATGAGAATAGATAATTTTATTTCTCATTTTGTTGATTAAATTTGATTTTCTAGAAGTTTTGTTTACCTATTCGTACGATTGTTTCCGTGTGTTTGTGTGTGTGTGTGAGTGTGTGTGTAGAAACCGACGTCGATCCATGTTTATATTACACAAGTATCTATGCCTAGGTGTATGTATACAGGTGAACAAGAAAGGTAGTAATCAGTGTGTGTATGTGTGTAACTCTTTATTTCTATGGTTATTTATAGTAAATGCTACATAAATAATAATTTCATCGAAACAAACCAGTAGTCATTCATAGTCTTTATGTAACTGTAAATCTTTCAGAAAATCAAGTTAAGAGTAGTGAAAGATAGGTGTGTATGTGTGTGTGTGTGTAAGTGAGTATGAGTATAGTCAGATGTTGGCTATATTTTTAGTATTCAATCTCGAATTACATCAAGTTACATATCATGTCAGAATATTTTAATTTGGTTTATATGAACGTTTGTTACAGGATTGACCCAATGGTCTAGAGGTTAAGTGTTTTCGTTCGAGACCAATAGGTCCTGGGTTCGAATCCCGCTAGTCGAATCGTGGTTGTGCACTGTTGAGGACTACCATACTAGGATGAGATAACCATCCAATGTTTCTAGATTTTCTATGATGATCTAGCTTTAATTGACTTATGAATTTGACTATGAAAACTTCGTTTATTGTTTGAGTTCTATGCTAGTTGACACTTTTAAATAATAAGTATCTGAAGTCATTAGGGAATTGGTATGGAAACAGAGTCACCCAATTTCTTAGTTTGAGAGGTTATCACTAAGTTAAACGAGTCACAACTGATTTTCTCTAAGACTATGTATGTAAATTGATTAAATACATTTGAATTTCTATAAAATAGCATGAAAATATGAAGATATTTTAAATATTGATTAGCAATTGGATTCAGAAAGTACAATTTCTATTGTTAAGATCTTATCGACTGGATATACTTGGATCCAAATATCGATTTTCATATTATAACTACTACGTTATAATGGTCTCTTTAGATACCCGTGTAGAAACGGGTTACCGACTGATAGGTCCTGGGTTTGAATCCCGCTAGAGGGGGTCGTGGATGTGCCCCATTGCTGAGGAGTCCCACAATGGGATGAAATGGCTATCCAGTGTTTCCAGATTTTTCATCGTGGTCTAGATTCAATTAACTCAAGATCTCGACTATTGAAATTACCGACAGATATTGATCAAATAAAACCCTAAATATCAATAAAAGGGAGACGATCATTTACTGGATAATGATAAATGAAGCATTATACCTTATATACAAGCTTTATGTACACACATGAAGTGAATTCCACGTTATGAGAAACAAACGATTGGCCAAATGTTTTTGCTCATATTTTGTTCAAGTTGAATAACTCTACTAAGAGATTGTGTCTAACAGTAGTAGAGTGTCATCTAGTTTACTTCATAAAGTTGCCGACTTTTCGACCGAAACATGTCAGTAAGTAAAAAAAACAAACTTCCGTGTTCCATTAATTCATTGATCTGAAATCGATTTCACTGAAATAGATAAATCAAACCATTCACAGTAATTATGAGTGTATGGTTGTGGAGATTAAGTTTTTAATTGAGATCATGAATCGAATAATGTTAGACCACCATGTAAAACTTGGAAGTATCGTACGACCGTTTCATCCTAGTGTGGAACTCCTCAACAGTGCCTAACCACGATCCCTCTTACAGGATCCGGACCCATGACTTTCGGTGTCATTTGCAAACACTTAACCTGGAGATCATTGAGCCGGAAACATTAATCAACTTGATATCGTTTACTTAAATCTTCTCATTGATAATTAAGACTATTGTCAGAAGGGGGTTTTGTAGAGATCTTATTAATTTCAATTGTTGAGATCATGAGTCAGTTGAAGCTAGACCACCATGGAAAACCTGGAAACATTGGACGGCTATTTCGTCCTGTTGTGGGACTCCTCAACAGTGCACAACCACAATCCCTCTTACACGATTCGAACCCAGGACCCACTGGTCTCGCGCGCGAGCACTTAACCACTAGACCATTGAGACGCTCAGCATCCAAAGATGTTAATGTCTAACTTCAACTAATTGACTCATGATATCAACAACTGAAATTTAAGACTAAAATTGATCAATCTATTATTGGCATATATTGAATCTTATATAAAATAATTGTTTGAATATTACATTAATTCACAAACGTTAAATTCAATCTAATTATCACGTTGTGTGATTAAATTTCTATTTTGGCGCCAAATGATTTATGTTATATGCATATTCTACGTCATATGCTTCTCTTATTATTAATTTAATCACCTAACTTCCGTTTGTTTGTTTTGTTTTTTCTTTCCTTTATTGTAATAAGAAATGATAACAAAGAATAAACTATGAATGATTCAATAGTTTAGTAGATCTGTTGCTTTGATGTTAGATAGCTGGAAGTAGTAGTTTTAGTATTAGTAGTAGTAGTAGTGGTAGTAGTCGTTGGTGTAGTAGAGGTAGTAGTATTAGTAGTAGTAGTGGTAGTAGTAGTAGTAGTAGTAGTAGTAGTAGTGGTAGTAGTAGTAGTATTGGTAGTAGTAGTAGTAGTAGTAGTAGTAGTAGTAGTAGTAGTAGTAGTAGTAGTAGCAGTAGTAGTAGTAGTAGTAGTAGTAGTAGTAGTAGTAGTAGTAGTAGTAGTAGTAGTAGTAGTAGTAGTAGTAGTAGTAGTAGTAGTAGTAGTAGTAGTAGTAGTAGTAGTAGTAGTAGTAGTAGTAGTAGTAGTAGTAGTAGTAGTAGTAGTAGTAGTAGTAGTAGTAGTAGTAGTAGTAGTAGTAGTAGTAGTAGTAGTAGTAGTAGTAGTAGTAGTAGTAGTAGTAGTAGTAGTAGTAGTAGTGGTAGTGATAGTGGTAGCGGTAGTAGTATATGAATACTTTTGTAGCATTGTCCAATGTACGATTGGTTAAGGTTAGACATTAACATTGTTGGATGCCTATCAGCTCAGTAGCCTAGAAGTTAAGCGTTCACGTGTGAGACCAAAGGACCACGGTTCGAATCTCGCGAGGCGGGATCTTGGATGTGCACTTTTGAGGAGTCCCACAATAAGAGGAGACGGTTGTCCAGTAGTTTCAGGTTTACAATGGTGGTCTAACATCAATCAGTTCATGGTCTCAATAAAAACTTATCAGAAACAACCTCTGCTAACGGTACATAAATTACCAAGATTATACACTAGAATAGGCTTTGTGTGTGTGTAATAACTCTAATTCATTGGTTCTAAAGTGCTCATCAAATCTGATCTATTAAAGACTAATTAGGTAGAACACTGTTTGGGCTGACTTTTCTCTCTCCCTCTGAGTATACAAAACTCAGCTATCAAGATTCCTTATTAAATTAGGAGGCCACCTAGTATTCTGGTAACTCACTTTCATTCACTATGATCTGTTTATGAAATATAAACGAACTTGGCGATTTCCTTGTTATGCTACATACCTGTAAAGAGAATGAAGATTACCTATCTACCAGAATAGAGTAATCTAGATCAAGAAGTTACTAAAGAATGTGATTTTCTCTCAGGAATACATAAACTGAATAAGTTTTATATGTATAGGTAGAAATTAAACATGACTTTTTAAACACAAAATTGGAGAACTAGTAAAGACTTTTTTGTAAGCAATTATGGATAGTGGATAGCAGTGGAATCCACGACGCGCGTTTCGTTTAATCTGGGACTCATCAGCTGGACGTACCTGCATCTCAGAGTTGATGTTCCCTCTGGGACTCGAAGCCAATACGAAACGCGCGTCCTGGATTCCACTGCTAGCCACTATCCATCATTGCTTACAAAAAGCTTGTGAATTAAGGCACTATCGAGGCATACGCACATTATGCACATATGCCAATAACAGACTGATTAATTGCAGTTTTAAACCTCAATGGGAAGATAGAAGCCAAACAATACCAAGTGAATAGTAAAGACTATATTAATCACTAGAACTTTTCAACAGTATATATCCATAAGCTTAGAGACTATTCAAACACCAACCTTCAAATCTCATGATTAGTACAATCTCTTTATATAAGAGGGTTTATTGGTGTATTTATTGGTTTAAATTATCAACTTCAATCTTTTCATAGTAAAGTATGATTTTTATAGAAACTGGTTGATGATCGTTGTTTCATTTTCAACTTGATGAACTTCATAGATTATGATTAACTGCTGTTTTTGACATGATGGAAAAGATTTGTAACCCAAGTGGATGATTTTGTTCTCTGAGCTCGATGATTTGGTCGTGGAGCTTTCATCGACATCATCAACATAAACTTCAAGTAGAAGTGAAATGTTCGAATTTCTCTACATATGACTCACAGTTTGTCCTATAGACCTCGATGTTGATTGGTTCTTATTGACCTTAAATCTATCATTATTTACTTACAACAAAGACAAAGAAGTAAACAATGACAGGTTTAAGGTCAACAAGAACCAATCAACATCAATGTCTACAAAACAAGTTGTGAACTATACGTGAAGAAATTCGAACACTTCACTTCTACTTGAAGTTTATGCGCTGATGATGTCGTTCAGAAGAACGATGAAATCTCTACGACTAAACCATCCAGCCCAAAGAACAAAACTCTATCAAAAAACTAACTGTTCTCTTTGTTGAAACAGTTCACTAATTAATAAATGATCATAGTTAATTTTATGAAGATTATGCATAATTTAAAATCGATTATCATTATCCGCTAGTTCTTTATCTGTCAATAACATTTTATGACAACATTGAAATGGCGGAGCGGAAAGGTACTCGTCAAAATTACTCTCTTAATTTTCTTCCTTATCTTCCTTAGCGAAAACACTTTTCTCTATGACAATTTATTTTATATGGGTATGTATTCAATGTTATTCTCCTTCATGAGAGAATTCTCGGAGATCTAGTAAGAAGTCGTGATCAGTAGAGCTGATCTATGTCAGGTAGAGACAGGTGTCTATTTCAGTACAATAGGAGATGATCGAGCAATTTCGTAAAATGATTGAAGTCAAACATTAACACCATTGGATTATTATTATTATTATTATTAGAAGCTTTATTCAACATTATATTTTTGGTACAACATAGAATTCTCAGCATAAAGTATTTCAACAAGTTTCCTTTTCTTATACCTTGATCGATTGTGACGATAAATTTTGAATGATGACCAATTAGATGTTAGAAGTTCGGTAATCCACATTTGATTATTTTTCATTTGTTTCAATGCATATTGCCAGCAACCATGATGTCGCTGATTGTACCTTTTTGTATCCCGTATAGCGAAAGGTTGTAAACTTTTCATAAACGCGCCTGAATAGGTTGTGCGCACAATAGACAAAGTGATGTGCTAAAACAAACAACAAAGCAGATAACTTGATGAAATATCTAGATCAAAGGAACAGGTAGCCCAGATATTCAAGCAGGCCACCGGATGTCAGCCGTCTCAATGATCTAGAGGTTAAACGTTTGCACACGAAACCGATAAGTCTTAGGCTCAAATCCGACGAGTGGAATGGTGAATACACACTGCTGAGGAGTTCGATTCTAGGTCAAAATAACCAGTCATTCAGTGCTTACAGATTTTCAATGATGATCTAACTCCACAACCTCATATTGATTATTCCATTGGTATGTGTGTGTGTGTGTGTGTTGGTGAGGTGGTGGGTGCGTATTTTAATTTGACATGTCTATTTCATTTCTTTCCGATAATTGTCGTTAATTGAAAAATATAATCAAATTTAATTACATAGATAATTATTTTTATTCAATAATCAATAGTGACACAGTAATTAAAATGTCTAATTTTATGGATTTTTATAATTAAGCCTACTAATCATTATTTATGATGAAGAAGATTTATAGCTCAAATGAATGAGTTTAACAGTTTTATTCTTTGAGTTAGATGGTTTATTTGTAGAGCTTTCACTGTTCTTCTGAACGACATCATTAGCATAATCCTTAAGTGGAAGTGTTGGTGATGGTGATGGTGATGAGGATTGTGGTTAGGATCCAATGCCATTGCAAGCTCCACAATTCAACCATCCAACTCAGGGAAGAAAACTCCATCAAAATCACTGTTTATATTTATGCAAAACAATGTTTATTTAAATGTATTCTATGTGAACAGATTGAAAGTTAATCATATACTTAGTGGTAGTATGTTGTATATCACTCATATCGACAGATAGAAGTAATATCGAAAGTGGAGTGCCTAGCGGTAGAAGATTAAGAGAAACAAACAGAAGAAAATGAGAACAGATAGTGATTGATATAGAAACGAAGAAATAATGAAGTCTGAAACAGTTGATGGGTACTTTGTAAATAAATTATTTACTGTGTGGTTCTTAGAGTTTGAGTTATTTTTCCTGGTTAGAGGAGGAAGAAATCAGGAAGAAGTGTTGGAAGTGGATAGGACACATATTGAACAAAGAACCCAACTGCATCTCAAGGCAAGCCCTCGCGTGTAATTCTCAAGTCCAAAGGAAAAGAGGAAGGTCAAAGAACACGTTACACCGAGAAATGGAGACAGACATGAGAAGAATGAACAACAATTGAATAGAACTAGAAAGTTAGGCCTAGGACAGAGTGGGTTGGGGAATGCTGGTCGGTGGACTATGCTCCATTGTTAGTAACAGGCGTAAGTAAGTAAGTAAAGTCTCAGATTCTACTAAATGATTCTGTAATTTTGCATTCACTTACATTTCGTTGTTCTCACTGGTGTCCGTGTTCACTACAGTCGAACTAAACAAAATTGAACTAGTGACTTTTAGTTGTATACAAAATCTGATTGTCATATATGATGAGTCAGAGAATCTTTTACCTCCATAAAGTGAATTGGTAGTGTTAAACGTACCACATATTTAATTCTGTGTTTATGTTCTGCATATAATGCATGAATCAGTACCATGTTTACATCTCATCTTTGTACAGTTTTTCCTTAAACCAGTTGTAACCTACAACGAACAGACCTTACAAAACAACTAATGAAACGACATCTCTTGGATGTTCACATGAAATTCATTCCTTCATATTTACTAAAGAACAGTTTCATATTTCAAGTGATCTCAGTTCATACTGAAAATCCTAAACTTCAATACCATATCCTTACTGTGAATATCTAATCCTAACTAGAAAAAAACCATATGGGAACTATTAAAAATCTATTGGAATTCTTATAAGGGTTCAAGAAGACGGATATTCTACATCTATCAGAACCAATGTCCTTATGATATAATGGAAAGACAATGAGCATTCAAACCACAAATTATAACAATTGGCGACAGGGATGGGATTCAAACCCACGCGGGAAAACCCCAATGGATTAGCTAGACCATCATGGAAAACCTATCAGAACTAATGTCCTTATTTCTTCAATCGAAAAGATTTTTTAAATTAAATTTTAGAATCCCCCTAGTATTCTGGTGACTTACTTTCATTCACTATTATCTGTTTATGAAATATGAACGAACTTGGCAATTTCCTTATTATGCTACATACTTGTATAGAGAATGAAGATGAACTATCTACCAGAATAGAGTGATCTAGCTTAAGAAGTCAACGAAAAATGTGGCTAGCATTCAATGGTGTTATTGTTTGACTTCAACCAATCCACGAGATCACGTGACCCTATTCCATTGTACTGAGGTAGATACATAGAACATTTTCCGATTGACTTAAAGCCAATTCGTGGTTGTTTTTAATTCACCCTCCCCGCTACATTATCATCATTATCATCTATTAAATTGTATCAATAACAATACAGAGGCTAGGATAATATATATGTATACATAAATTCTACTAGGATTCTCAAGTTTATAATCTAAGCATGATAAACCACAAATAATCAGAATTAACAATTACTGATTGGTTACTAACCGGGTTCGAATCCCGTCGCTATATTCACGATAAGAAT